ATACATAGCATATACATATACACTACGCCAGAAATTATTTTGAAAAGCCACATACAGTGGGCCCCCCCTTACCTATGGTTTTGCTTTCCGAGGTTGCAGTACCCTCAGTTAAAAATCATTACACGAACATTCCAGAAATAATTAATGTTTCCAATCGTGTGCTGTTCTGAATAGCATGATGAAATCTCAACACCCAACTCAGTCCCGCCCAGGATGTGACCCAGCCCCCCGTCCACAGTGTATGTGCTCCCCGCCCCGCCTCACTTAGGAGCCTTCTAGGTCACCAGATGGACTGTCCTGGCGTCCCAGTGCTTGTCTTCAAGTCACCCTCGTTTTTAATAATGACCCCAAAGTGCAAGAGCAGTGATGATAGTAAATCGGATATGCCAAAGGGAAGCCATAAAGTGCTTACATTTAAATGAAAAGATAGGAGAGAAGAGTGTACCTGCTGTTCCATACAATCTACCTTCCAGGCATCCACAGGGGTCTTGAAACACACCCCCAGGCATGGGGGTGGGGTGGGGGCTACAGTATACCTATAAGCATGGTGAACACAGCACTGGAAGCACAATCCCTGGGTATCTAGGCCAGCAACTATCTTATAGTGGCAGCTTCCACAGCCTCTGATGGAGGTAGCAAAACTACCCCAAAGCTCTCCCATTTGCCCCCTCATCTTCCCCGCAGCAATACAGCAAATAACAGGGGCTTTCTGCTAGTGCACTTGTACCTAAATAGCAATACTGTTTGGATCAGTCCAATTATTATAGTAAAAAACAATTTAAAATATATACCATGAAATTAACAACAAAAAAGCATGACTTTAAGTTGAGGGAGGGGGGAAGAGGGGAAAGAAAGACCACACCAGGGCAGAATTCTTTTGAGTGAATATCCTGTAATCTACTGCCAGACCAAAACAAATTTTTATGGAACAATATGACTACTCAAGTAGCCACTTTTATGACAATAAACACCCAAAACCGAAAAATCCTTTTGTAACATAATTACTGAGAATATACAGAGAAAGTAACCATTTAATCCACAGCATGTGTTCTCCACCACAGAACTCAAAAGCTGACATCAGCCGGGGTGTGGCTGTTCTAGGCCCTGGAAATGAATTCTGGCCAGCTGAAGTCAGACAGTCCTCCGGACAGGCCTGGGACCTACAAACCACCAAGCAGGTCTCATTGAACCTACGGCCGTTGACCTTCTGGGCACAGGGCAAGGTCCATCTGTTTACATGCGTTTTGATTTTGGGAGGGGTAGTTGTGGTGGATGAGTTAAGGCTGTGGTTATAGGGTGTTGCCAGTATTTAATTTTAATATTTTTACCCTAACATTTTGTGCATACTTAACACTGAAAACTGCCTAACAGAAAGACTGAAAGACCTTCTGAAAGAAAAGAAGACTGAAAAACAAATAAATAAGAATTTTAAAATGGAAAAATAAACAAATACTGGGCAAGATATAGGTATTTCCACTCTACTATCAAAATGTAAGTGATTGAGATGAGCTACTGAAACCTATTTTAGGAATTATTTACAAAAATGAAAGTTGTTTTCTAAAAAAAATATATAACCATGGTGTCCACTCTGAAACTATTTGGGGATTTTTAGCTCTGATTCATTAATCAGTATGGAAGCGCAATTTGAGAAACTTATCTAAAAAAAAAAAAAACTTCTCAAAAAAAAAAAAACTTCTCAAGTAAGTTTGTGCCATTTCTAGTTTTGTAGAATGAACTACTTTGTATTAATACATAAATCAACTACATCAAGATTTATGAATTTGACACTCTAGGATTACTTTACAATATAAAGAAAAGCATTTGATACCTTCATTTTAATGTGATTATTCTAATGCAAATTTGCATAAATATGAAATTCTACATTTTGCATTTTGTCCAATGGTGAAAATGTCCAGGACCTGAATATATTCAACTGTTTAACATCACCACCTCACTGATAAGGTTACCCAATACTAGAGTAACCAACACCAGCTTGAGTTCCAAATGCCCTCTGTTATAGACCTGGAGGCCTAAGCTTAGAAACATATTATAGGTCTTTGAAGAAATTTTTTAAAATAGATTTAAAAAAACCCTATATCTAAGAACAAATTATTTCATTAAGCTGCTTCTTGATATGACATCTAAAACTCACTCTGAGTCCATTAAAGTAAGTGCACGTTAACCCTTCACAGGAGGTGGGCACAGAATCCCAGGGGAACATATACTGTATATATTTTTTAATGACCACAACACTATCACTGTTATATGTGCGACACATGCTCTTAGGAATGACCATCAAGCATCCTCATTTGTTTCTCCCTCGGCCGGGGGGCGGGGCGGGGGCGGGGAGTGAGCACACCAAGGTTTGCAGTCCCTTCCCTTTCTGTACACACGTAAGCTGCAGCTGTAGTAAACAACCACCAGCCAAGAGTTGCTAAGGTCAAGGTCTCAAGTGCTATCCCAGGACCAGTTTTGTCCCAAATGACAATCAGTTGTTGAAAAGGGCTTGGTGGAGAAAGAAATATTAAGAGTTCATTAGCGCAAAAAGTTTCATTCAATAACTAGTAATACAAAGCACTCCAAAGTAAAGTTTAACTGACCGAAGGGTCTTTTAAATATGCATTAATAAATAACTGAAGCACTTCACAAATAAACAGAAACTCAAGAATGTTTTTTGTTTACCAGGCACAGCTATATAAGTTACACAGTTTTAGTTCACGAACTATGAAAAATTTATGTGAAAACATTCCAAATGTTACCAGCTTAACTATATTTCATAATTGTTAGGAATTAGAAGGTAGAATAATAAACCTCTTTCCTAAATATATTACACATTTCTGCCAATTCTTACATCCTCACATTGCTCTCTCCCCAACTCAAAGCAGCTTAATACACTCCTGGTAGTCTCCAGATTGAGCAGGCTGCAGTGATAAAGAATAACTTATGCAACCGAAATGTTTGTCCTTCAACATCCTATTTCTACTCAGCTTCTACAGTGAAACATTTTCTGGCCTAAAAGTACACCCCTTTATCATAACCAATCCCTATGTGATTTTTCAAAATATAAACAACATCTGAATGAGGTTTGCAAAAAAAAAATCTTTTTTTTGGCAGGGGGAGGGGGTGGGGGGGACGTTACTGTTTTTATTAAACGCCAATTCCAAAGAGCATTTCTTAGAAGATGGTATACACCCAGTCTCCAAAGTGACCACTCCTATCCCCATCACAAGCTGCTGCCTGTAAAAAGCCACCAAATTTATTTCAAAGCATTTACTCATCTAAACAACTCTATCCTCCAGTAAGAAAAGGGCATGGTGGCGGCTAGGTGGATTTGCAGAATGACGTGTGTTTGATTGGCAGATGTCTACCGAAGCCACCGGATGCACATGCACTAAATGTAAATAGAGCTGCTCATCTCCCTGGTGTTACGGAGGAACAGAGAATCCTAACGCTGATTTAAAATAAAATATCCGAGTGCTCCGCGGAGAATTCTATTAGCCAGTGGAATTGCTTAAAACAATCCATATAGAACCATACTTAAACCATCTGTACAGTTAAATTAGAGAGCTGACAATATTAACCACACAAACTGTTTATCCAGATTACACATTCCGTCGTACTAATACCCTTTAACTCGACACAGTCGGCTTTCATCAATTGAATTAAGGCTATTACTATTAAAGTATGCAAAACTCGAAACGCAGGGTGAAGGGGGCTGGGAAGCTGCAGGGCATATAACAAAGGAATTGGTACTTTTTTCCGAGCATTTGCCTCAAATACACTTCGAAATAGAACTGTTGAGTGCACCCCACCCTTTTCCCCAAAGATAAAAGTTTTCAAAGTTCTAACAGGCGGTTCTCTAACCAACAAAAACAGGATTGCCTCTCCCTGTAGGGGAGCATCTAACAAGAACACCAACTGATGTGGCTAAGGTCAAGTCCGAGTCCTCGGAGCGAGTTTCTAAGGCAAGAAGTGGCTCCTAGGCCGGCTAGGCGGGCTTCGCTTCCGGGCCAAGGTGGACGTGCAAAGTTGCCCCTTGTCAACTCCGGCCGGTCCCCCGTAATTGAAAATAACAGCCACGGGGCAGCCCCTGGCTACTTCCATGGACGAGACACTGTAGCAAGTGACAGTTACACATCATTACGACCACAGACAATAATGAATGTAGCACCAGGACCACTATTCATGCCAGCAGTGTCATCTCCGCCGTAACCCCTTCCCCTCCACTCTCCCCAGCGCACACCCACAGCCCACACGGCCCCGGTGCCGCAGCTATTCACCTAACTCGCTCTATTCTTGGGGACAAACTATCAATACTTCCACGCGCCTCCCCCCTCCCCAATTCAGCCCTGGTGTTTTATTTCTCATCCTTGGCAACTGTCAGGCAAACACTGCAACCAACAATTCCACTAGGGATAGAAAAACATTTGCTTAATTCACGTTACTTGGTAAGTTCTTTTAGAAAAAAAATATATTAGTGGGGGGGGGTCTTTCTTTCTTCTCTACGAATCCGACGGACGCTACTTGGTTTGCAATAGCATCGCCCTCCCCGGGCCCCCTCCCGCTTCCCAACACTTTCCCCCTTTAAGAACACAGACCAACCAAAATGATTTAACTTGAGCAGATGACAGAAGGAAAATAAAACATGTTAAGAGAATACGGTCTGATTTGGGATGGCAAAAAAAAAAAAAAAGAGGAGGGGGTTGTTTATTTTGATAAGAAACGGAATCGGCACAGACCTGAACAGAAGCTGCAGAGCAGGAGAAATTGTTTTCTTTCCCTCACACAGAGTCCCCCTCTCTCCCTTTCTCTCTTTCTCACACACACACACGCGCGGGCGCGCACACACACACTCACTCTCGCACACACACGGCGTCACCCGCGCACACTCACACGCACACTCGCACACGCACAGGCAGAGCCTCTCAGCTGCTCTCTGCAGTTCTCAGGAAATGAATGGGGGGCAACCCAGGGAACTGTTGTACTTGCAAATGACTTACCCGGATCACATGATGCGCTAAATGTAGGGTGGGCCGGTGGGTGGAGGCTGCCGAGACGCGAGCCCCGGTCTAGCGTGGGGAGCCTGGCCAGGCCCGCATCGAATTACCCCGGGGCCCAGCCGAGGGGGTTGCAAGACGCCGCTTCTCCTCCCTTGCAGCCCGCAGCTCAGGAAACCGGAGAGGCGCGGGTGGAGGGGTTGTGGGGCGGGGTGAGCCGGGGGGGTGAAAACACCAAACCCCCAAACAAAAGAGCTCCGGGTCCTCCTCCCCAGAAACAAAGCCCCGCCGCTGCGGGCGAGCCCCGGGGTGGGGCCGAGGGCGGGGGCGGCGGCGGGGAGGGGCTCGCTCAGCAGGCGCTAAGTCGCTTTATTGCCATAAAATGGGGCCCCCGAGCCGCTCCGCCCGAGGATTAGGAGGCGGGCTTTGAGTGTGATGGTTGAAATCCCCTGTGGGAAACTAACCCCTCCCAGCTCGCAGAGGTAGAAGGCAACACCCACTGCCCGGCCCTCGCTCGGCTGCCCGGGCAGCCGGGCTGGGGGGTGGGTCCGCGGAGCCTCCACCCCGCCCCACCCCGCCCCACCCTTGCCCCCGCCCCCAGCCTCCGGCCTCCATTCCCGTTCACCTGCACCACCTTGCTGCGGCTCCCAAAATAACCTACACATGGCCCCTGAGCTTTGGGAGCCGCCGGCCCAGGGGAGCCTGCCGGGCCTCGCAGCGGGAGGAAACCCCGGGTTTCAACTCGCCGGGCGCGGGGACCCGCACTGAGCCGCGAGAAAGTCCCCTCTTTTGTGTCACAGCGTGCAAGGCAGCGTTAGGAGAATTCGGAGACAAATAAAGCGCGGAGCCCGGTCGCCCCCCACTCCGCCCCCTCCGGGTGGCGGCGTGCAGGGAGGGGCCCGGGAGCCCGAACCGTCCCCGGGGCTCAGCCGCCTGCTAACTTGGAAAGGTGTGGGCGGAGCCGGCTGGGGCGGCCGCCCGGGGCTGCGGGGCAGGCGGCGCGGCCTCGCCGGGGACCACCCGGGGCTTTCTGGCAGCGCCCGCGCGGGGCAACAATGAGGTCCGGGTAGGGGCGCCCGCAGGGGTGCGCGCAAGGGTGGGGCGGGCGGAGGGCTGGGCGCGGACGGAAGGGGAATCATTGTTTGGGTTCGGGAGCCGTAGTCTTCGCGAGCGGAGCGGGGGCGTCCTTTCTACCCGCGCTTCACCTTGGAGGGATGAATGGGGGCGAGGCTGAGCCGCTGGCCTCGCTGCGGAGCCCGGGGAGCAGGGGTGCCCACTCGCGCTAGTTATTCAGGGAAACTGGCGAACTTGGAGGAGGAGAGGGAAGCGGGAGCTGCAGACCCCCTGCCGAGACCGCGGGGCTGTGGGGGCGGCGGCGGAATAGAGGCCCCCGAAAGGTGCCCAGAGACCTGGGCGGCCTGGAGCCGAGTCCTGGACGCCTTCGCGGGCGGCCCTTCCCGCCCCGCCCCCGAGCCCAGGGGAGCGATCCACAGGATTCTGGGGCAGCGGAGAGGAGGTAGCGGCCCGGCCATCCCCGCGGCTGCCCGGAGGGCGCGGGGTCAGCCGCCGGCCGGGGGTAGGCGGGGAGCAGACGGGGCGGAGGCGGGCGAGTGGGTGGGGGGAGTGGGCTGGACCAGCGCCGCGGTCCTGGATCCAGATTCGTGCGGCAGTTTCTTGCAAACCTAGGTGAGCGCGCCGGGGCTCCTAGGCGGGCCAAACGCCCCTGCTCGCTTCCCCTGAGCCCGCCCAGCGTGGGAAACCGCCCAGTTAGTTGATGGGAAGGCCACTCAGGGAAAGTTTATGTTGAGAGAGAAAGATCTGCAGTAATGTAACCTGAAGTGGGATGAGAAGAGAAACAAGGGAGAGGCCGAGAAGCAGGAAATGAGAGAGCGAAGGATCGAATTCTAGCCAGGAAAAAGCCGCAGGCTGCGTTTCGTGTGGCATCCTCCCAGCACTTCTAAAGGCCGTGCGTTACCAATAAAAACAAAGGCAGCCTGGAGCTTTCTCTGCCTCCTGCCACATTCGGAGTGTGAGGAAGGGGAGAAAGGTGGTCCGGCCTGGAGGGTGATTCTGCAGCTCACTTGCACCAGTCCTGCGGGGACGAATCAGTTGGTCCGTGTCATAAATAAAACAGAATTGAGAGAAAGTGTCTCAGACCCGATCCTGAGGGTTCAAAGAACAAATGACAGAAGTGCGAAAGTGCAGAAAACTGTGGACCACTCCTTAAGCAAAGTATCGCTGGAGGAAAGAACGCAGCGGGAGCGGAAAGGCGACGGAAGCCCACCCTGAAGACGTGGGTGCGGCCGGAGAAGAAGGAACTGGGGAGGAAAGTGGAACGTGGAGGCCAAGGGGGTGTGTCGCTGGGCAAAGCAGCTCGGAACCGCGCCCCCTGGGCTGACCCTGGGCACCCAGTGAACAGTCCTTTACGCTCCACCATGTACGATAGAAACAACACGAAAAGACAAGTTTGAAAACGGTGGAATATCAACACATGCACAATATTTAAACGAAAAACTTGCCTCTACTAGAAACACTGTACGGCTTCCCTCTAGGTGGGGCAAGGAGAGGCAGGGAGTGACGGAAGTGAGTTTAACTGGAAGAGTGGAAGGATGCTGTAAGAAATTACGTCATTGTGGCAGCTCTCGTACTAACAGCTCTCAGAGGGGCGAGTGGCGGACTGATCCTAAATAGATTCTATATAGCAAGGGCTTCTCTGCACGTGGAGAAACATTCCAAATTGTGTTCCCTGCCTACGGGCATGTAAATAGAATGATGAAAGAGACAATAAAGGTATAAAAATTCATTCCAGAGGGCTAGGAAATTAAGGGGCAGGTCAAAGTTAATATGAAGGGTCTGAATAGTGTGGTTAAAAAAAGGAAATGCATCAGTATCAGAAGAAAAAGAAAACACTTGTGGATGTTTAAAAAATGTAACTTAAATTAAGGCAACAGTCCAGTATGAAGAATAGCAGAAAGAAGAAAGATACACATTTAAAAGTGAGAATCTCTTCATTGTGTCAACTGGTGGTGGGTGTGGACGGGCAAAAACAATGAAAGAATATATAAAGCTTGTGTGTATGGGGAGTTGGTGCACTGGAGGAAATTGGGGGGAGGTGTGCCCAGGCACGCATTTCCAATTCAGTTCATGTAATTCTCTCTATATAGAACTCAGATTTCAACAAGCTAAGGAAAAGTGCACAAATACCCTGGCAAAAATAAGTGCGTATCTTTGTGTTTAATTCTCTCTTTGCATGTATGTACAGGCATGTGAAAAAACAAATTGGCAGTTATTTTACCAAGAATATGTCATTCTAACCGCGTAAAAATGTGTTGAAATTACAGAATCAAAATTTTTGTGTTGAAAGTAGTTGTTGAATCCAATTCTATCTGATACTTCCCTTCTACTTAAAACCAAGATGATTTGGGTTAAAGATGACCAGTTTCATTACATTATATACTTCATTTACTTCGTCATTATCATTGCAAATGATAAAAAATGAATTAGCAAAGAGGACAAAGGTTGGTATTCAGAGTTTCTTGCAAATAGGACACTTACTGGACTTCCTTTACCTAACATAATGGTAAGAAAAGAGAAGAACATATACAAGCACCCGCAAATGTCTAATCCAATATAAATGATATAGCAAAGCTTCAAACTAGCCATTTTAAGTGTTAATGTAATAGTAAATATTACTAAAAAAGCTTTTTGCCAGATCTTTGTATACTTTACCAGTGTTCACACTCTTATTGAAAAATTAGTGTTAGTGGTAGAAACATCAGTTACAGTATTAAAGAGTTATTACCTGCACCACACCCTGATTTCTCTAAGAAAAAGACTCTCTTCAATATCTGTACATTTAATGCTCTCAAGCCTTTGGGTTAGTGATATTTAAAATGGCATGGATTATTTATTTATTTATTTATTTTTTAAAGATTTTATTTATTTATCTTTAGAGGGGAAGGGAAGGAGAGAGGGAGAGAAACATCAGTGTATGGTTGCCTTTCGTGCATCCCCTGCTGGGAAGTGGCCTGCAGGGAACTGGCCTGCAACCCACACATGTGCCCTGACTGGGAATCGAACCGCGATCCTCTGGTTCGCAGGCCCGCACTCAATCCACTGAGCTACACCAGCCAGGGCATGGATTATTTAACAGTACTATAATTCTGGTCCAGGGCTGGAGGATAGAGCCCATTTTCAGAAATAAAAGCTGTGTTGAAAGACTAGAATTGACTAGAAGTGAATATTTGGGGGGAAAAAAGTGATTCCCAGAGCTCTAAATACATGTAAAAATATAATCCTGATTTTTTCCTAGGGCTGGAAATGAGTATGTGCTACTAGGTTTTCAATGTCTATTTTTTTCATGTGTCATATTTTGGCAATAATGTGCAGCAAGGGGGAATTTTCCTATTTAAGAAAGGCATGTAAAAGCTTTACTACAAAAGCCAACAGCTGGTGATATTACATGATTATATGGTAAACAACATGTTTTGATCTGAATGGAGAGCTGTCTGGAAATTAGGGGAAAATGATATTTCATAACTTTGTTTTATTGCAGTCAATACAGTTATTAACCCTTCCATGTTAAATGTCTTCATCACATCCACATATGTGTCTCTTTTACAAGTTCCTGCATAGTCACTTTCATTCAAGTCTCCCCCGGAGTCTACTACTGCATCTCCTCCCCATTGCTGAGCGCTGATTCCCCTGGCCCCTCCTCTCACATTTATTCCACCTCTCCTGTAGCAAAACTTTAATTATATCATACCCACATTAAAAAACCAAAATGGCACAAATTCTAATACAAAACCATGACAGCAAGAGACCCACTCAGGTTTGCATATCTCATGCTTCCCCTTACAGCCTATGTGGACACCTGACTGTGCCCCATCCATCATCCTGGGTGACTTTACTCACTGGTCCTCTTCCATTTCCTCCTATGGAGTCTTCCCAGTACGATCCCATGACACTCAGACATACGTACACATATTCCATCCCCTCGCCCAAAAATATCTTTCCCTTCTTAGAGCTTCTTTTTCTGTAATGGAAAGAGGACCTAAACCATTGACCATCTGGTTTTTCATCTTCTGATTCCCAATTTTTTGCACCTATTTAAATAACAGTTCTCTCAGATTGAAGGATTAATATGCATTGTGCACTTACTTGAGCCAATGTGCGATGAATATTAATTCCCTCACTTATTTTTAAGGTACTTAACACCTTTCTGCTTTCATTATATATTATTGGCTCCCAATCACAGGTAATACTTTGAGAACAAGAGCTGCACCTTAACCATTTATTTAGCCTACCTTTTACCCATCATACCCTTCTGCATGTTGTATGTGATGGATACATGCTCACTAAACAATTAAATGAATATATAAAATTTGAAGGACATACATTAAAGCACAATGCGGCAGAGAACATGTTTCT